GCTGAAGGAGTACTTCTCCCAGTTCGGGTCGGTGCAGAGGTGCCAGCTGCCGTTCGTGAGTACCTGCGCGTCCTCTGGGCCGCTGTTCATGCCCTCTTAGTGAAGCGGGAAAGAGCTGGCGGCTGGGCCTGCGGCTGAAGGCCTGTCCCGGAGCAGCTTCCCCGCTTCCTAGGAGCTGCTCTCGGGAGGCCTTATGTTGTATTCCAGTCTGGTTTTCAGTGCTCGTCACCCTTGGCTCCTTCTCCCAGCGGGTGCCACCACTTGTCTGCGAGCTGTAGGCCTTATTGAAACTTAATGGTCTCCGTTGGCTTTCAGGGAGTTGTACAAAGCACATCCCTCAGATCCTGTTGATGCTGCCAGTTCTGAATAACGAACCGAAAAGTGGTTTGAGCTTCTCTATCTTGTTATCATTCTTCTGACAGAGAATAAAGTTTTTATGTGCCTGGTCTTACTGGCCAAAATACTAAAGGTGTGAGTATGAACCTACAGTCGTTTCCTGCTGTGGGTTCAGACCCCATCCAGAGTGTGGGGCTAACCATAACCTCTGCAGGGTGCTGCCAAGCTGTTCCTGCCTCTACCGTTTAGGCTGTTTATCTTCTGAGCATGTAGGTCAGGGATCGTACTATCCAGTGCAGTTTCTTAGAGATGAACGGTCAAAAAAAGTTTTCCTTTATGGGTAAGTTGCCGGCCATCACCGAAGTAGAGGTTCTCCTGCCTGCTTGTGTTTCTTCATGTGAAGTAATGGTCTGTTAGATTAAGCTCAGTGTGTAGTGAGCTCCAGTTAGTGAGCTGATGGGTTCGCTATCAGTTGAGGACTAATTTGGAAATGGAAAAAGACAGTTTGAAACAGGCTGGCTATTTCCAAACACTTGAAGCTTAGGTGCCTGCCTGCCACACTGTTCCTCAGGCCCAGGACAGGCTGCATTGCGCTGTTGCAAACCCAGCTCCATCACTGATTGAAGTGACACCCACGTGTATGTTTTGATTCAGCGATTACTTTAGGAGTTTCATTAATGCTTAAAACTGCCAGAGATACAAAAATCTGTCAGCAGTGTAAGACAGCCTAATTTAGACATTGCTGTGATACTGAAACCAGACAGTACCTTGTGGGCAAAAACTTCACTGGTGGTTTGGGACTGCTGCCAGTCATGCCTGATGATCAGTGGCAGATTGAACCTGAACCTGATTGAACCCTGAATTGAATTCTGCTTTCTTAGTCTCTTAAGCAGCTGCTTTATCTTGCTAAATGCTTTTCAAGTACTGCAGCCACTTAAATGTCAGTTCTGTTGTGACTGGCTTATTAGTAGGTCTGTTTGAAACCACTGTCTCTGCATTATTACAGGCTTCAACTGTAACTTAAAATCTTGAATTTTTTTATTATTGCTAGATTCAAATTGAAAGGGAGGCAGAACAGCCTTTGCTAGGCCCCCACATGCTGTCAATGATAGCAAAAGTCTTAAAGTGTGAAAAAAGCTCCTGAAACAGCAAGTGTGCCAATTTCTCTGATAATTTCTGAATCCTTAAATTCAATATCCACAGAAAGTTTTAACAGCCTATGTGAATATTTCATATAGTAATTGTATTTTATTTTTTTAACTGGTGATTAGGACAGAGATACAGGCTTTCACAGACGTTATTGCTGGATTAAATTCTCAACTCCAGAAGATGTTCAGAACGTGTTAAAGAAGGATTCCCACATACTTGAAGGTTCCAAGGTAATGTGCTAATTTCCT